TTTGCTATAATTGCTTTTAAAAAAATACAGATAAAGCTTCATAGTTATCTCTTTCTGATCCTGTTACTCTTCCGCCACAGAGTTAAGCACTATTCTGAGTTTGATCTCTAACTCTTATGCCTATTTTAATACTTCCATTTTATTTGTATGTCCAGAAACAACACATAGTATTGTTTCTACTTCATTTAAATGGATCATACTGTATATATCTGTTACTACTTCTGTTACTGTTATCTGTTTTTTTTCATTGGACATTGTTTCAGGAAATTATAAATGCAGCTAGCTCAGATTCACTCTTTCACTGCTGGGTCATATTTTATTACATGACTCTACCCAAACTGTGTAACCATTTTTTCTGATGCACATTTAAATTCCTAACATTTGCTATTACCAATAATGCTGCAGTAAGAATTGTTATTTTCCCTTTTCCATGAGTTTCTTTGGCATCCCTTCTTTAAATCTATTTTAAGGAAGTAAATCACAGGATACAGACTGACATATTAATTGGATAAAATGGAAGATCTATGTTTAACTCTGACTCTGTGCGTGGAGTGCAGGATACTGTGTGGAAACTCCCAAACCTTAAGCTACAATGCTTACTTCACAGGTTGGGAGAAATTAGCACACATAACAGTAATACCAGGAGGTGGAATGAAATAAGTGCTGTGTGCTGGTAGAAACAGCTCTGGTGTTGGGCGGATTTGGGCCAGTGATTCAGACCTTTCGCCACTAAGTAAGGGTGGGCTTATCTTTATTAACACCTTGAGTTGATTTCATTACAGCCAAGAGCACAGAGGCCTGATGCCCTTTTAGGTCTGCTTTCTGTGTCTTGACCTCTCTTAATTCTAAACTGAACAGGCAGACCCCGTTTTCACTTTCCTACTCCTTAGGATGGATGCCTGTCTTCTTCTGTTGTCTTTTAACACTGTCCTCTGGGGAAGAGGCACCAGGAGTGAAATTCTGGCTGCCTGGGATATCTCTCTGATTTTGAGTGCTCATCACCAAACACCCTAGATAGTGCTAATTCCTGTTACTCATTCAAAAGAAACTCCATTAGATAAAAATTTCCTTTTGTGGGGAATATCTCCCAGGAGTTTGCTTTTACCTTGCCCTCACCCCCACCCCTTTACCCCAGCAGAAATCTGTTTTTTAATATATATTTTGTTTGAGTAGGAGCCTTCTGGAGGTGTGGAGAGTCTGTGTTGTAGTGCAAAACATGAAAGACGTCAAAACAGGGACTCTCAAAGTGTGGTCCCCAGACCAGGAGCATTAGCGTCTTCTGGGAACTTATCAGAAATGCTAATCCTGAGGCCCACCCAGGCCGACTGAATCAAAAGCTCTGGGGGTGGGGCCTAGTGATTTGTGTTTTAACAAGCCCATTTGGGGAGTCTGAGACCCCCTCCTTCAAAGCGTGCTTAAATAGCTGCTGGGGTTCGTATTGTGGGCCTGCCTAACTGAACTTTTTAGGAAGGGACTGAACACGTGAGAGATGGATGCCTGGCAAGGTTATTTATTGTCATTAATGACCGCAGAAAGTTATGCTTCTATGCTTTTTTTGTATGTGACGTTGTTATAGACAAACCTTTAACTTTTGGAGGCTGCTTTGGTTTTCTTTATTGGTTATGACCAACAGTAGGAAATAGAATGCCATAAATCCTTGTTTCCACGGTTACCTTGGTGCTGCTGATAACAGGCAGGAAATTAAAACAATCTGTGATAGTGTTTTGTTCTTATTAGCCACAGATGGTAGGTTTCAGATATGTTGGAGCAAAACATAAATAAATATAGCAGGGAAACTTTATTATTGAAGAAAAATGGTTTGGCTAGGTCAAGTTTATAGGCTGGGTTCATTTAATGAAATGGGAACACATTAGTGTTCCATTACCACACAAAGCATTAAGACGTATGAGGGTCACTAGTTTCGTATTTTTTTTTGTTTAATTTTGAGTGTGTAAAACATTTACATGATTTCAAAGTCAAAACTGCATAACAAATTATGTTCAAAGGTGTCTCACTTCCATTCCTATCTCTTCTCCTCTGTTCTCTTAGTCCTTTGTAGGTAATCATTTTAATTAGCTTTTTGATTTATTCTTTCAGTGTTTCTTTTTGAAGATAACCACATATATGTGTGTATACTTTCATATCTCCCCCTTTCTTTACACAAAAGGTTGCATATTATACTGTAGTTGTAAAAAATTTTATTTTTAAAAGTTAGCTCTATTAAGGCATAACTTAAATTCAATAAAATTCACCAACTCTATGTGTGCAATTTGAGTTTTGACAAATACAGTTGTATAGCCTACCAGTGCAATGAAGATACTGTTTTCATCACCCAAACAAGTTTCTTTTGTAGCCAGTCCTTTCTCCCACCTTTCTGGTCTCTAGTAAACCATCTGTCTGCTTGCTATTACTATATTTACCTTTCCTAGGGTCTCATACGTAGTTATTTTGTGGGTGGTTTCTTTCACTTAGTATAGTTCTTTGGAGGATTCAACCATGTTAGTACATGTATCAGTAGTTATTCCATTTTATTGCTAGGTAGTGTTCCATTGTTGGTATGTCCTAGCTGATGGACATTGTCCTATTGCTTTCTTTTTTTTAACTTTTTATTTTGATATAATTTTAGACTCACAGAATAATTACAAAGATAGTACGGAGAGTTTCTATATACCCTTTCCCAGCTTCCTCTAATATTATCAATACTTAAAAAAATTAATATTGGTAAAATACTATTTTCTAAACTACAGACTTTAGTTTTTTCAGTGGATTTAGTTGCCATGTTTCTATAGCCTTCTCTAATCTGTGACAGCTCCTCAGCCTTTCCATGTCTTTTTAAAAGAGTACGTATTTAGATAAGTACTCTTGTGTACTTATCTATTATTATTGTGTATTTATCTAGTATTATTGTGTAGGATGTCGCTCAGTCTGTCTGGTGATTAGGCTGCAGTTATAGATTTTTGGGATTACTTCGTAAAGGAAGTGTCTGCCAGGTTTCTCCATTGTAAAGTTACTATTTTTTCCCCATTTTCTGTAGTCTGTCTCTTAGAAGGAAATGATTACTTTTTAAATTCTGATGTATAATAAATTAGTATGCATGGAACACATAATTTAACAACTCCCTCAATCATAATTATAATAACACCTGCCACTTACTCCACCTGCATACTTCTAAACACAAGTGGATTATCTCATTTAATCCTCAGGATACCCCTGTAAAGTAGGTACTTTTTTCACGCCTGTTTGATAGCGGAGAAGACTAGAACAGAAAGTGCCTTGCCTACGGTCCAACAGCGAGTTAGTGATGGAGCCGGGTGCTAATTTAGCCTAACTCAAGGACCAGCTTTTAATACAGGCCATAGGATTGTTGTCAGAGCTTAGAATGGGGATGCTCTTATTCTTTGCCAGAAAAAACAAATGACTACTTCCTACGTTTGATAATTTCCTTTTGTTCTTTCTCTAAGAAATATTTTTTGTTTATTTTTATTTATTTATTTTTTTAGGTGAGCCATCCTGCCACCTGTTGGCAGCTCAGTGGCTGCTCAGCTCTGGCCAGGACTCGAACTGCTGTTGCTCAGAGCTCAAACTCTTGAGCAAGCTCTTAACCAACTGAGCCACTTGGCTGACCCTGTTTAATTTTTCTTTCGGGAGATTCCTTGCATGACTCAGATTTTAGTAAGCTATTCGTAAAACCTTGGAGGAATCCAGGAGACTCTGGAGAGCACTAAGGATCTATTTTTGGACTTCTTTCAGAAATATGACTGAAGGTTAGGGCAGAGTATTCAGAATGGAAGACTGCTTTTGGAGAAGGAGTGTTTATTGAAGGAACGACTGTGAACCTTCTCCTCACTGTATTTTACCAGCCTCTCCTAACAGGGGGGTTGTGTTTTTGTGTGTGTCTAAACCCCACATGTTCACTTTTAGTTGACCACACTAATGACTTTTCTATTACACAGTCAAACGTGTCTCTGAATAGCCTGACTCAGGGGATGATAACTGTAGTTAAATGATGACTCAATATCTGCGAGCCTCTATTCTAGCAGCAGTGGAGCCACACTGAAGGTCAGCTTGTGTGGGTGGGCGTTTGCACATCTTCCCTGTGATTCACTCTGTAGCCTGCCTTTCTGAGGGGAATGGCTGTAGGTGGCTGCCAAGTTCTACTCATCTTCTCCCTTCTCTGTCTCATCATACTTTGTAGGTTGGGTACCCCCACTTCCTTGAAATAATACAGCTAGGTGTCTTGATTGTATTTAGTCAGCCAAGCTATCCAGATATCAGTGCAGTTTTTTTTAAAATAAAGCATTTTGGTTTCTAAATGTCTGTCATATGCCTGTCCATAAATGGAGTCCACAGGCTAAACAAGACACTGCTTATCACCCAGAGCCAACCTGGGCCGGCATACACATAAAAGCTGTGGCAATTATTTCCTTAGGAAGGGAGGAAGGCAACTATTTAGAATAAGGCTGATGCTTGCATACAATAACTGGAAATTTTGTAAGAGTGGAAAATTATTTGGGGTTTGATAACAAAGGTGAGGTTTACATGTGTCTGGATTTGGCCACAGAAGTCAGAGGGTTAAGAATTTTTTTTTTCTTCTTGGATATGGTTTTCTACACATGCATTATAGAGGAAGTACAAGAACATGTAAGGAAGAAAGTGAAAGCATTCCATTTTTATCACCAGAAATCGCCACTCTATTGTTTTGCATATCCTTTCTTTTCCTCTCTGTTTCCCTCTCATGTTGCAAATACATTTGTAATCCTGCCTTCTTTTTATGTAATACTATAGCATAAGGATTTTTTCCATCATTTAAAGGAAAAGACTGCTAACTTGGTGGGAGAAAAATAGCTAGATTTAATTTGCATTCCCTTAATGTTTTAGTTAGTATTGACATTCTTTCTTAAGTCCACTGTCAGTTTATACTTACCCATAGAGACTTAGTTTTTCTACTCTGTATCTTTCTAAAAATTGGAAATGTTACTAAAGCCAGTCTCTGATTTCAGATGTCCTAAATGATGCTATATTTGATGAAGACCATGATGAGATGGTGATTGTGAAGGACATAGATATGTTTTCCATGTGTGAACATCATCTAGTTCCATTTATTGGAAAGGTAAGGTTTTTCTCTGTTGCTTCCTAACAATTTAAAAAGCATAATGAAAATTTTAAAATTAAGATAATTATGATAATTTGGATAATTAAAAATTGTCACCTAATTCCTAATATTCCAGATATTTAGAATTACATATAAACATTTCTGTTTGTCAACCTGACTAATCTAATAGCTTGTAATTGTAAATATCATGTTAATAGTTTAAAATAACGAGATTAAGGTTCTCTCTCTCTAAGTAGCTGCTGAAGGCTCTGCACCTTTGTCCTTTATTTTGACTAAGTAATGTTTGATCCAAGATAGACTTGATAGACTTTTGTACAGTATGACAGGAGCAGTAATGGTTGCAGAATTTCTTGTGGCAGAGGTTATAGTATTAGTACATTTAATTTGTTTTCCAACCCTTTCTATATTAGGAGAAATGAATCTAATGCAAACTAAATAATGTTATCCAGCTTGCTGGTGTTAAACATACCTTTGAGAATGTGTGGGTTTAGAACCAAGAGTTGTCCATTCTCTCCCACTCCCCCCACAGTATAATTTTATTTTATTTTGACTTTTTATTAATAATTTTCAAAAAGAAGATTTATAAGAAATAGTGCTATGAGGGCCAGCCAAGTGGCACGTTGGTTAAGAGTTGGCTTGGGACACCAGCTCTGAGCAGCAGGGCCCTGGTTCGGATCTCATATGAGGGCCAGTGACTCTGTGCCCTCTACAGCTAAGATGGCGAACAACAGCTTGACCTGGAGCTGGGCTGCCGAGAGTCGCCAGCGATGGCGTAGGCTGCAGTGGGGCTGGTGTGGGCTTTCATGAGCTGCCGTGAGCCTCTGTGAGTGACTGTCCAATGGCCGGTGAGTGACTGCTTCACCCGGGAAGAGTGCAATGATAATAGCAACATGGGCCAGTGAAGCGCCATCGTCCACAACTAGACAGAAGAACAAAAGGACAGCAACTTGTCTGTTCCCCTTCCCCGATTCCCCAATAAAATCTTAAAAAAAAAAAAAAGAAATAGTGCTATGAATATCTATATACCCTGCACCTAAAATGTGTTAACATTTGTTTCACTTTTTTTTTTTGTTAAAATATTTTATTTTTTAATATTTTATAGAAGCAAAATCATATGGGTATTCCTTACCACCTCATAGATAAAAAAGTAGAGCATTATTAGTAGCCTGGAAGCTCACCTTGTGGCCCTTCCTAATCCTAACCCATCCCTTGTCCCCTCAGGTAGATTAGTTTTGCTTGTTTTTCAACTGAAGTCATGTGCCCACACAAGGATTTGGATCCCATGAGATTATAATGGAGCTGAACAATTCCTTTCACTTAGTGATATCTTATCTCTAGAAACTCTTATCCATGCAGAAGGCAATGACTGAAGTCTGCTTAACAACCTTACCCTTGTTACCAGTGCTTTTCCTGGTAACCTCCCCTAACTAACTCCCCCCACCCCTAACATCTTTTGTCTTCAGCTGAAGATGGTATTTAAGGTGATGGCTTTGGCCGTTTTGCTGAGCTACTCAGTTTTCCTGGGTCTCTCCCATGTATACAGGAAATATACATGTTATTAAACTTTTGTTTTTCTCCTGTCGATCTGTCTTTTATTACAGGGATGTCTCAGCCAAGAACCCAGAAGTATAGAGGGGAAATTATTTTTCCTCTCTTTCAGAGAAATAGGTTATAGCATATAGCCTAAGTGTATAGTACACTTACCAGTAAGTGTACTCTGATGTTCATACAACAACATTGCCTAATAATGCATTTCTCAGAATATATCCCCTTTGTTAAGCAGCACAGCCTCTCTCTCTCTCTCTCTCTCTCTCTCTCTCTCTCTCTCTCTCTCT